TATTCTTGGCATCATTGTTGTTGTCTTTGTTATGATACATTGTTGTTGTCATTGTTATGATATTGTTCGTGCTGTTTATTCTTGTTGCTCATTGATATATTTTTGTGGCATTTTATGACATTGTGGTGAAATCAAGTGGACAGGATGAACGGTTTATGTTTGTTGTGTACTGTTGTTTTGTTTCATCTGAATGTGAGTGGTCAATACTGAAAGCTTGTGAACAGTAGCATAATGCAATTTGAGTATTATGTATATTATTATGTGAGAAAAAAAAATGAAGCTTTTTCTTCTTTCAAGATAGATCCTTATCTTCTCCTTTAGTCATCACTGAAAACTGTTATTAATATTAATATATATATTAAAATGATCATTAATTTTATCTATCACATGATGACCTTCTTGTGAGGCTTCATCATTCATAGTCAGAAATCAAACTAAAATATAAGAAAATTATCAAAAAAAAGAAGCTGAAATTTGGACCCCTTGATTTTATAATAATAAAGACATTGAAGGAATCATGTTTTGCTTAGGTCTCTGTTGCTGTTCTACTGTTAATCTTTGAATGCTTCATTATTGTCTTTTTAAGTTTGATAATGTGTCTGTTAAGATGTAGATTTGTGTGATATTTTGTCAACAAACTGTACTTGTCAATTCATTTGTTTTTTTAAAGAATTCTACTACTAATTTTATGGACAGCTTTCTTTTCGTATTTGTGGTCCTTTGATGTGGAATGATTTTCCATCATATATTATATATAAATATATATATATTTTTTAAAGACTTGAGTTCCCTGGCAGTGTTTATAAAGCAGAAAAAATCGCATAATTTTGCTGAGGTGTATTTCAAGTTTTCTTACTGTTTTCATCTACGCCCGTGGTGTAGCGGTTAGACACTTCACAGACGCATGCGGGAGACCCGAATTCGTTTCCCTTGTAGGGAGAATATTTATTGAGTATTTCAGTATTTCTACTGGTTGGCCCAAACAGGCAGTGTTGAAGGCCATCTCTTAAAATGATGTAATTTGTGTTGATGGGGTCGTAAAAGTCCCCTGTGGGTGGTTGGCAGGTGCTCTCGTGTGGTTTGCTCCTTCTTTCCTATCCAAACATCTATTGTACTTTTCTCCCCTTCTTTTTTATGTTTGTTACTCTCTTGTAACACCTATAATCTTCTGGCGCTGATATGACCTTATGCAGTTGCGAGCGCCGTTAAACCTCTGCTAAGACAAGTCCCCTAAATTTTAAAAATAAATCCCCTTGGTCAATGAAAATTAGTATGTTATAAGTAAAACCGTAAAGAGAGGGAGTGGTAACAAAGACAGAGAGAGAAGAAGGGAATAAAAGATCCTCTATTTCAACTGTGTATGCATTTTTGCTGGTCAACCCTTCTATTCGTAAGTTATACGGCTGTGAATGCTGGACTATTGCTAAAGACTAAAGACAGTGAAAATAAAATAGAAGCGACAGAAATATGGTTTCTTAGGAGACTTCTGAAAGTATCTTTGAAAGAAAAAACCCCAAAAGGGATAGTACTTGAAGAAGCCTGTGGGCTGCTCGCTGATTAAAAACAATCAGGAAATGACAGATAGAGATTATGGAACACTTGAATAGACACAAAGGCTTTGAACATCTAGCTCTCACTGGCAAGATCGAAGGCAAAAGAGGCAGGGGTAGATCTAGGGCAACCTATTTGGAGAGCCTAAACGGATGGTTGACTGGGAAAGATCAGCATAATGTAACCTTTCCTGTTTAAAAAGCATCTGTGCCGAGGAATGAATGGAGAACCATGATCGCCAATGTCTGTCGCAGATCTGGCACTTTATGATGATGATTTGAGCTATTTTCTTTGTATCATTGTAACAGTAAAGGGCATTGAGCACTTTCTTTGTGGAAATGTGCTAATTGAATGTGAATTAGTTTAATTATTTTAGTATTAGTAGTAGTAGTGGTGACCCTCATGTCAATCGAGTTTCTTGCATTTAAATTTGCACGTTGGATTAAATATTATGGAATTTTTTTGCTATCCTTTCATCATTCAGAAACTTTAAAAAATGGTAATTATATTAATATAATGCCCTTCATATGTTTACCTTTGAATGATATCTTGCACGGCAAAATTGTGCATTTTTTGCAAAAATGTATTGGGGTTGGAGGAGTATGTCCTAATTTTTTGTTATAATATTTTGATGTTTATTTTAGAGACTGGAGAGACGAGTGCATTGATGTTTGTTCCATTTTTCTTAATTTTATAAAGGAGCTTTGCGTACCCTTTGATTTGAAGTATATATGACGTAGATCTATCAACAGTAGGTGACGTTTTTTTTTGTGTGTGCAATTTAAAATGTTGTCTTTTTTTATGGTTTTTATGTGAATGGGTATTTTGAAGACCCAGTAGATGTATAGACTGATGTTTGTTCTGATTATTTTTAATTCCATGCAAAAGAGCTTTTCTTTCTCTTTAATTTGATGTATATAATGTATCTATCAATCATTGGTGAATTTTTGTGACATTTTGAAATCAATAAAATTTTGTCATTTTTGCCTCCCCTTATCAAGAGTGTGAAATTGGCTTCTTGGCCAATCTCTAAGCTATATTTTGTTTATTTTGAATCATCTGATGTCTATTTAAAAAAAATTGAGCTTAATATGTGAACAGTTTGATGACAAAACGCGACAAGTGTCAAAAGTTTGGCCGAAACTATTAACATCGTATCAAGAATAGTAAAAGTGATGCACATTCCAGGGTCAACTTCTTTTTTTTTTAAATGCGGTATTTCCTCATTAAAAAAAGTGCAGAAAGTGACGCTTTTTTTTACAAAGTCTGACAAAAGTAGTTGACCGTTTTTGACAAACCGTGACATATCCTCTGTGCATCAGTCAAGGTCTTTCTTAGAGTCACATGATTTCTCTTTTGGTCGATGAAAGTTTATTGATGGTTCTTTCCCTTATTTATCATTGCGATGAGGTTATATCGCGTTTTGTCGAAAATGTGTGGAAAATCTCACCAATTAAAAGGATAAGAATTCAACATACATAGATTTCATCAATAAACAAATATCAACTATGCCTCACTTTTAGTTTACTCTGCATACAAAGTTTGCTCAAGATTAGCTATTCAGTAAATGGGTGAAGCAGAGAAATCATTTTTCTCTAAATCAGAAATACGCAAGTGCTGCGTTTTGTTGCGAAACTGTTTATATATATATGCATTAGTGACTCTTGACTGAAGAAGTTTGGTTTGTGGGGCAAAGTTTGTTTTGTGTGAGCTGCCCTGGAAAATAGTGTTTTCCATATTTCATGATGTTCTTGAAATATGTGAGGCAGCGTGGTGGAATCAGGCGCTCGTCAAAATAATAAAAGTAAAGAATTTAGCATTTTGCCGCAAGTTTGTGAATTTGATATTTTTGTTTTTTGGCTCAACACTTTTCATGCCTATTTAAAAACATTTATTTGTCTGGATTTTACAAAAAAATGTTAAGGGCATAAAAGATGTAAATTTTCAGTTTCCACAGACTTTCAAACTGAGGAAATAACTCAACTTTGGCAGCCATTTTCTCACTAATTTTACACCTGAAACCAGGCGACCCCACCCTCCTTCAATCGCCAATATCTTGACTTGTATCAAAGATAATAAATAGATATTCGTCTCATTCTGATCTCTCCTCCTTTTTTTGTGTTTGTTACTCTCTTGTAACACCTCCAGTCTTTGGCACTTATACGACCTTATTGTGTTGCAAGTGCCGTAAAACTCTTACTTAAACTTAAACTAAAGATATTCGTCTATCAAAATCAAGGCAAATGGCTAGGCTTTAAGACGACACCAATTACTCCATATGCCCCAAAATTAACGAGCGCCTGATTCCACCATGTTGTGACTCATATATATAGATCTATTACACATTCAGGCTCCTTAAAAAATATCATCCTAATGCAACGAATTTGGTAGAAAAATGCTCAGAATGAAAAATTCTTTTGATCTGTGGATTTATTTTTACTTGAAATTATAGAACCAGAAAATTTACTTATAGGTACCAAATAATGTGAATAAAAATATCAAGCTTAGTCTGTATAGACATAGAGTCACCTATGACAAACGACAACAATGTGCTATATTTTCTTATAGTTTCAGTTGAAATATATATATATATATATATATGGAAGTGATTTTTATTTGATGTTGTTTTTTTCTTTCACAAAGAACGTTCAATAAAAGTCTGAATGTCATCTCAGCTGAAAAAGTGTGGGTTTTTTATTTGATAATGATGTTGTCATGTAACAAGAGATATCCCCCCGCGGCGGTGCCACTGACTTAACTGACTAGTGTCTTTAGGCCATTCCCAAAGGGGGGAAATTTCTCGTCCAAGCTCAGTAGAATTGTAAATGGGCTGATTCATGTCACGCTCATAACTGCCTGATCTACAACAGGGTACTGCTGCTTTTTCTTTCCTATTCCTTACTATTGTCATTTCTTGTATGTTTATCACTCTCTTGTGACCTGCTATTTCCGGGGTGCCTTGATAGTTGAAGCAGACTTTGCGCTGTTGAAGCTAGAGAGGTGAGCAGAGTAAGTCCTGATTCCCTGTAAAGACTTCTCTGTTGACATCCACCCCTTGGCGCTCATATGACCTTATGCAGTTGTGAGCGCCGTAAGACCCTCTACTATAATAATAATAACAAGCGAGAGCATGGTAGTCTCCCTTTTTATGCCTTTTTTCGCCGTTTTAGATCATTTAGATATATCTCTTAGAAGTTTTTACTTTATTTTAATTTATTATAGTCTAGTGCAGAATGCAAAAGATATATTTTTTAGAGTTTAATTTTTATGCTTCAGAGGGGGCACCTTTTGACCTCTGCTCATCTGTCTGTCTAAGAGTTTATGCACAAGATGACTAAGTGACAGTACTGAACTGTTGTTGTGACAATGTGCTCTGTAGGCCTACTCTTACAATTAATAAAGAAAAAAAGATTAATGACCGGCAACATAGGGGATAGAAAAACAATCCACATAGAGATACACAAGATGCTTTATTCATTGACGAGAGGGGGATCTATTTATAAATTTGTGATTTTATTTTCTGTGGGACAAATCCATGGGCTCACTCCAACTCGGGTCTCTGCAAGATCTTTTTGAACTCGTCCAAGCTGACCACGCCGTCCTTGTTTATATCTGCGAAGGTGATCATCTCCTGGAGCTCATCAATCGGGACGTTAGCATCTAGCTCCTCTGCGATGGCCTGATGACGTACAGATACTCTTTGAAATATTCTAATTTGGTTCAATATATTATAAGTTAACAAAACGCAAACTATATTGATCTTCTGGGAAATTGGTTGGTGGATATACCACAACATCAAAGATTCTGCGTCAACACATAACATGTAAAATAAATTCACAAATTGCACCGTAGGCCTATCCAATTCACTTCATGTCCAGTGATGCAAAACAAAATACGTGTACAACTACAACGATGCGTAATTCTCTCACGCAAGCGTTCCATATAACTCTTACAGTGTGTTCGTGGGTATTGACTCTCTCTCTCTCTCTCTCTCTCTCTCTCT